GGTCATATGGGTCGAGTCTACGGGTCAACTTGACCCATTTTTATTTTGGTTATGGGTTGGGCCGGATAGGATTATGTTGGGTTTGTGAATATAATTAACACAAAAACAAAATTAGTCCAGTGGTTAGGGAATTGGGCTTCAGCCATGGAGATTTAGGTTCAAGTCACACCAACCACGCTGATTTGAATTTTTTTTTCAAAAAAAAGTAAATCAGAAAAAAACCGGCATGTCATTCATAAGGGTAGATCGAAAACGACATGTCGGTTCGTGTCGTTTTCAACCTCTGTCCGGGTTTGCAACTAGGTACTCGACCCGGAAATTAACCCATACGAAACCTGAAACTTCAAAGAGGCATATTTAAGTCATTTTAACTCCATTTTTTATGACTCAAAAACCATTTTCTTCATAATTTCATAAGGAATCTCTTAGTCTAATTATCATTACCAAAAAGACAACTTTTTATGTACAAAATTTGAAAAAAAAATAAGAACTGCATTTATCAACCAATAACATGCTTCAACATTAACAGTATGAATTTAAAACAATATGAACCACGGCTCTGATACCAATGTTGGAAATAACATAGAATAACATATATCCTAACATAATCCCAAGATCATAGTCACCATTGCAATCACATTTGTATATAAATGAACTATAATGAATTACCACAGCATAAATACCTCTTTTCCTTATCTCTGAAGCAACAAAGTTAATCTGGAAGAAAACCCCGAAGTGTAATTTTGTTTTCCAAATTCTAGAGAGAGAGAGCGTATTTTTCTTTGCGTATTGGTGTGTGTTGTAGTGAGTAATGTTTTCTAAAAGAAAAAACCTTCCTTTTATATGGGAACGGTTCGTGAGAAACTGCCTTTGGCAGTTTCCACTTCTCACACCCCTTCATCATGGGTGTATTTATCCAATAAAGAGTGATTAACATAAAGGAAATAGTGAGGAAACTATCCAAGATCTTTGTAGTTCCATTCAAGACCCTAAGAGAGGACTTGACTTATGAAGGATGGTCGATTTAGATCATAGGTCATAAATTATAAATGTTTAATGCAAGAAATATCCTTTGCAATAAAATTTCATGAAATGACCATATAATTGAAGAGTGATATGGAAATGCAAGATGTATGAGAGGATGCATTCTCCACATATCCTTTATAACAGTCAATTTTGAGGACAAAATTTCTTTAAGGGTGGAAGAATGTAATACCCTGTATTTTTTTGTATAGAATTTTATTAAATTTTATTTTGTGATTTTGGGGGGTAAAGTGTTAGATTTTGAAAGTTTTATGAGAGCAAAGTGTAATAGGTGAAACAAGTAAGGACCAAGGTGAAATTTATCAGATATTTTGATGAACAGTGGCCAATCAAAGAAACGAAAAATGGGGAAGAAGGGAACGACGGGGAGAAGAAGCGACAGAGGAGAAAAAGAAGAGAAGAAAGAAAAGAGAGGGAAGAGAGAAAATGGAGAAAAGAAAAGAGAGAAAGAAGAAAGGAAGAAGGGAGAGAACGTAGAGAGAGAGGAGTAGAGAACGATGAAGGTGGTTGGAAAAGTGCCCGCCGGTGAACAAAACTCCGATGATCGGAAAGAGTGGAGAAAGATCAAGCGAATGGGAGGTGAGTAAAGCTTAAAATTTCCCTATTTGACGAATTTTAGTTCAATTGATTTGTGTTGTTCATAATTGAATACAATGGCATGAGACTGAATTAAAATAGGGAGATTGATTTCAATAATTTTATGTGGGTAGAATATACATATTGTTCCTAAACAAAAATGGGTTAAAGATATGATTTTTGATGTAGGGGTTTATTGTGTAAAATCTGTCCATCTGGGATTCCAAAAATTGTTTACATGTTTTGGGTTTTTTTATTGAAGTTGAATTTTGGACATCTTGTTGTAGGCTTTTTGAGGAGTGTTGAAAAATTTATTTCACTCAAAAACTCGAAGGATTGAATTTTATATGGATTTTTGAAGTTGCCTTAACAATTCTGGAATTTTTGTTTTCTGCAGAGCGTATATTTTCGGAAAATGATTTAACGCATCTATTCTTATCCAAATTGAGTGATTTTAAATTATGGTGAATTCTATATGTGACTAGTTTAATTCTGGAGAGTTTTGTGAGGTTTAGATTGAGGATTGAATTGTTATGAATTTTTCAAGTTAGTAACTTCAATTCTGGAAACAGTTGGTAGATTTGAATGAGTTGAAAGAAAATTGTGTTTTAAATAGTTATTGATTCTAAATGACTTGAGAAAATTACGGGAACAACTTATGTGTCTCTAGAAGGCCCCATCAAAATTATGGCTTAAAATGATGAATAGAATTTTTATGAAAAATCTGAGAGTGACCAATGTTCGGTTATAAGACAGTTTTGTTAAAGAAGAAACTAGGTTAATCTTTTGGTGTATGAAGTGCCCAATGAATTTAATAATGAGGTGTTACCTTAGGGGGACTTACGTGTAGATGATTTATTGGATTTTGTGTATAGGGAGGGAAGCGGGGGCATTGTTAGAGGATTTCAATCTTTTTTGACTTAAGGGTCAAGCTCCAAAATTGAGAGTGGAAAATCCAAACCCTAACTTTCATTTTGAATTAATTGTTTGTTATAAACTTCAAATGAGTTGTTTTGGTTTACTATTTATCATAATTTAGTGATTTACTTTATATAAATATGATTCATTGCTAATGTTATTGGTTTACATGAGAAATTGAGTATTTTATTGTTGTTGATAATATAAAAATGGGGCTAAGCTATTATTATGAAATCATGTTGAAAACTTACATTTTAGCCTTATACTGCACATGAGAATTTAATGTTATGTTTTATGTTTTCTTGATGAATGAAGGCATGAAATTTATGTAAACTGGTGAGTTAAAGGTATGTATATTGATGTAGTAGTTTTCAAACCACCATATATAGTACTCATCCCCCTCATGATATTGATTTGATTCTACGCATGCGTATGACATAATTTTGCCGGCCCAAGTGCGTTGAAGGCCCAAGCAAGACATATATCGCTACATATGATTTTGCCGGCTCAAGTGGGTCAAAGGCCCAAGCGAGGCAGATATCGCTACACATGATATTACTGGCCCAAGTGGGTCAAAGGCCCGAGCAAGGCAAATATCGCTACATATGATTTTGCCGACTCAAGTGGGTCAAAGGCCCAAGCAAGACAGATATCGCTAGACATGATTTTGCCAGCCCAAGTAGGTCGAAAGCCCAAGCGAGGCATATATCGCTAGACATGATTTTGTCGGCCTAGGTGGGTCGAAGGCTCGAGCGAGACAGATATCGCTAGACATGATTTTGCCGGCCCAAGTGGGTCGAAGGCCTGAGCGAGGCAGATATCGCTAGACATGATTTTGCCAGCCCAAGTGGGTCGAAGGCCCGAGCGAGGTAGATATCACTACCCATGATATTGTTGGCCCAAGTGGGTTGAAGGCTCGAGCGAGGCAGATATCGCTATACATGATTTTGCCGGCCCAAGTGGGTCGAAGGTCCGAGCAAGGCAAATATTGCTAGACATGATATTGTCGGCCCAAGTGGGTAGAAGGCCCGAGCGAGGCAGATATCGCTAGACATGATTTTGCCAACCCCAGTGGGTCGAAGGCCCGAGCGAGGCAGATATCATTAGACAGGATATGATTGTGCCGATCCGAGCGATGCATGGTCTCGCTATGTCAAAGACTTGAGTGGTGACTGATTTTGCCTAGGAGGATGGATCTAATGGTTCGACCCGCACGATGTTAGATCTTACTAGGTTGGACAGATTTACCCTTGGGTACCAGTTGGATGAGAGTTTTCACATGTGATTAAGAGATGGTTTATATATGTATATGTATATCATGAAATTAAAATGGAAATTTATAAATGCAAGTGCTATTTGTATATGAAATGTTTTTAGAAATGAGATTTTTTAAAGAAAATGAGTATTGATTTGTTACCATAAAAGTTTTCAAAAGAAGTTTTTGCAGTAAGAGATTTCAGCATTGGTTATGAAAGATGGTTTATATTATAAGATGTGTTTATGAAAATGAGATTTTATGAGCTTGAATGTTTTATTGTATATTAAAATATTTTTATTACATACTAACTTATTCTTCACTCACTGAGCATTATAGCTCACATGTCACCTTTTGTTTTTAAATGTTTTTCTTTTCCACCCCACCAAGTCAAGAAGGAGATCGTGCAAAAGAGTGAATCTTACTCAAGCTTGAACTACATGACTTCGTTTCATTATGTGTCATAGTTTTGTTTTATTTTCCATTGCAAAGTTTATATTTTATCATCATATATATAAACTAATATATATATTACTAACTGATACTATACGTTTCATTTCGTAAAAAAATTAGTTGCATTTGTTTATTTACGAATGATGTTATAATTATTTGTGAGAGACAAAAAGGAGTGTATAAATTTTTTTAGCTATAAGAGTTTTATGATGTTTAAACTTCATTATTTTGAAAATTGTTAATTTATCACCCCCCTTCAATTAACTGCACAGAGGTTAAAAAGAGAAATTTGCATTAAATTTGATTGAAAAATAATATTTTGTTCATAGTCAGGAGTCGATTGTTTCTTCAACTTCGTTTTCTTTTTGATAAATTTAATGTATTACAAAAAATACCCAAACAAATTACAAATTAATCCCCAAAAGTTTGAAATACTAAAATACCCCTAGAAAATTAAATTAACCCCTACAGGTTTAAAATATAACAAAAACCCCTTAGAACTTAAACCGGACCGAAGAGATTGCCGGTTCTCGGTCCGACTAGCCGATCCATTGATCTTATCTCATTTACTATTATAGTGTTACATATTAATACAAAATTTGTGGGACAGACACGTGCACTCAATACTACATGCTAACATTTGTGATGTGCACGTCTAAGTGATTATAGAAGATTGCACATGAACAAGTCCCATTGAAAAAGCATCATTGAAATTAAAAACGAAAAAAAAACACAAGTCACAAGTGTATTTACCATGACTATTCTCCAAATCACAAATATACTAATTAATAAAAAAGGTTTCTATTGTAAAAGAAAGCATTAAATTCTTAAGAGTAGAATCTGAAGATTCTAATGCCAACGTAATGCATCATGTAATACTGCATAAGATCTGAAGTTGAACTCTTGTCAATTAGCTTTTCAGGATACAACTTGAAAATTATGGTATTAGTCTCAATTAGCTTTGCTTTGCTATCTCTATTCTGAAGTCATCCCAAGAGGCCATCCATGATCACAATCTTGCTTATCCATCTCCAAGGCATCAGATCTATGATTGTATTGACTTGGAGCATTTTTGGATGTTCTCGTTGATTCCGCAAGACTCCTGGCTTGTTCCTCTGAAGAAGCAATACATTCATTTTCTGTCGAAGTTGAAGTTGTCAGTGCTCATCAACAAATGCAAGAAACTTATCCCTTTGATCTTGACAGAGAGATGCTCAAATCCCATGAGGCAGCAGCGACGAATAAACTCTTTTGCGTCACTGATCTCATGACTAGTTACCGTTGGCTACTGTGAACACCCTGGTAGAGCCTCAAGAGAATCATCAAGCATATTCTCATGTTTTGCAAAGAAGATCCTTGCATCACCTGTAGTTGAGAATGAATGCATACAGAAGTGAAAGCATATTTCCTGATCAAGATATGAGAGGAAATGAATTACCTCACTCTCCAGATGGGTTGAAGGTACAGAGCTAGCAAGGTTCAGCAGACTTATCTAGGAGGGGAGGAATCTACACCTGCAATAAATGAAGTTAAAAGAAACTGAGCCTAAATAATTTTCATTCATTTATTGGAAGGGGAGAAAGTTACCATGGTTAAAGGAGGTGTAGTAGGTTGTACTGAGGCAGCAGAATCTTGGTCTTGGAATGTAGAAGAAATGGGAGCTAGTCCTGGTGCCAATTCCATTGCAGGCTCATCTATCAAAATGACAAAAAAAAAAAAAAAAAAAAAATGATATGTTAGTTGAGATACAAATTGAAGTGAACATAAAGCAATTAAGGAAAGAAATTACCTGCAGTTTCCTCAACTAAAAGGTTCCTGACTTCCGCTGTCTTATCGACAGTTGCTACTTCTTGATCAGACTCAATGATTCTAGTCAAGGCTTCTGATGGTGGAGCTATTTTCAAGAAAAAAGCAGTTTGGATAATCTAATATACAAACTAATACACACAAGAAGAAGCCTGGAAAATTTACCTGCAACATCTATTATATCATTTCAGCAGCAAGCAATTCCATTGCCTTCAAGATTAGAGCCAGGATTTTCAGTTGTTCAGAGGGCTGGTTCAAGTGAGCCAACATCATGCTCTTCTTCTATTTTACTGTCCTCGTGGGCAGGTTCAGGATCTTGAGTGTCTGCAATTACTTCCGGAATCTATTCAATAACCACAGTTGTTCTGATGGAGTCTCAAGCAGCAACAAGCTGTTCTTTTTCTTGACAATAGTATACAAAAATGAGGGTTAAGGATCAATTACATTTCGAAACACAATTGAACATGCTTTAGAATGAAATTTTCAGTTCCCTTTTACTGGTCCTTTCTTTAAAACATTCCAATGATTACTTTCTGCTTACACAAACAATTGTTTTCAGTTCACTAATAGTCTAATTTTGTATGAAAAACTACATCATCGAAAGGATATTTATTCTTCCACACAATTCCTTTCATTTGCTTGATCAATGCAATTTTGTAACAAAACCAGCCCTCTAGCAATCCACTATTTGGCATCCATGAAATGAAAAGAAGAGCAAAGAAGTCAAAAGCAAGCAAAAAACACAATACAAGGCTTCAGTAATAATGCATGTTCAATGGTTCTGATTCATTCAGCACAGCCCCAGAATTACATACTCTAAAATTAGTGAATCCTAATTTTGGATTTTATATGTACAAATACATACATGATTTCATAATATTTTTAAAATTATTTTACTTAACTAAAAAAACCTGTAATATTGTCAACACTTACAACAGTTGACCTTTTTAGCAGGCCATCTTTCATCTCTGAAACAAATCCTTACATTCTTCCTGCAAAAAATACTACTGGAGTAACTATTTGCTTTGCAAATAGATCATCACTGGAAACCATTTTGGGAAAAAAAGTTGAAAAATCAACATTTTGTCACTCTTATACAAAACTAGTTTTCTAGTTGCCTTAAAAGTACCAATAGTTTCACTTCAATATCTCCATTTTTTGAAAGGAAAGCTGTATGTGTTCTAACAATATTGTTACCTTAGTGAAGTCATCATCCGACAACTTGTTGATCGATATCTCTTTTTGTGTCTTTGTCTGAATTATGCTTGAGGTTCTCTTGGTGCTTATAATCATGCAGCTTGTCAAGTAAATGGTTAATCGGCACATCCACCAATTTACGTCTGCAATAAATTTTAATAACTGACAAAACCAATGATCCAATGAAATCTATAAACATTTAAAACTGATTTAGATCTAAAAAACAGACTTATAGCATAGTTAAAAGCCTATTAATGGCAAATGGCTAGCACTAGACCTTGTCCTTCAAGGTTTAAAAAGGTAACACCGTTATATAAGATAAAGGGAATCTTACCCAAGTCCATTTTTAGACCATGCTGCTTCATAGATTCCACTGACAGTTTGAAATCCCATATCAACCAAATCTTCATGGATCATTGTTACAATAACTGCATGTATGACAGCAGAACATATTTCTCTTGACAGCAATGTTCTCATGTCAACTGCATTCTTCTTACGGCAACAAAGATAACGTCTTTCTGCAGCTGGCTGAAGCTTTTGCAGTTTCATATTTCAATGATGTCAAATAATGCTCTCCTGACAAGGATACTGCTCTGAAAAAGTGAACCACTGGATAAATTTTTATCATGAAAACTTCAAATTGGCTTTTGGACAGGAAATGAAGGAAGCAAGTTCAAACATTCACGATATTTTTTGTCCTTCATTAGTAACTGCATGATTAAGGACATTGTACATTCATTTGGCCTAACATTTGTCTCTGCCATCCTATGAAGGAGTTCAACAACTTTTTGTGTCTCATTATTCTTGAGGAAACCAAATATAAGGGTATTAAATGTGACTACATTTGGAGCACAACCTTTTTCCTCCATATGTGACAACAACTCAATTGCCTTTTCTCGTTGTCCATTTTTACAAAGCATATTGATCAAGATGGTATATATTACAACGTTTGGACTAATTCCCAAACTCTTCATTTCCAAATACAATTCTCTCGCCTTCTTAACTAATCCAGCCTTACAAAGACCATCAATTATAGTGGAATAAGTAACAGCATCTGGCCTACAAATAACAGCATATTCTTCATTTCCCTTAGTCATTTCTTCAAGCAACTTAATGGCAAGACTTATCTTCCCTGTTTTACACAATCCATTAATTAAAAGGTTGTAAGTATAAATGTTAGGAACCACACCTCTCTGAATCATAAGCTCCAACAACATATTTGCTTCATCTAATTTCCCTTTCTTGCAACGTTCATCCATGAGCACACTAAACGTCACCACAGAAGGCCACACACCTTGATCCATCATTGCAATAAATAGATTTTTACCCTTCTCCCATTCTCCCGCACAATACAAACCATGGATTAGAGTGGTATAAGTGACCACATTTGGACTAATTCCCGAACTCTTCATTTCCAAAAACAATTCTCTAGCCTTCTCAATTAATCCAGCCTTACAAAGACCATCAATTATAGTACTATAAGTAACAACATCTGGCCTACAAATAACACCAGATTTTTTATTCCCCTTAGCTATTTCTTCATGCAACTTAATGGCAACACTTATCTTCCCTGTTTTACACAATCCATCAATCAAAGTGTTGCAAGTGATCACAGTAGGCCTACAACCAACAGCAACCATTTTCTTAAACAATTCCATATACTCCATAATCTTCCCCTCTACACACAGACCTTTGATCAAACATTTAAAAGTCACAGCATTTGGGCTGAAACCCCTCTTCAAAATCTCTCCCAAAACCGCAAAACCATCGAAAACCCTTTTGATATTACAGAAGCAATTAATCAAAACGTTCAAAGACATTAAATCTGGAGACAACCCAGTTGAATTCAACCACTTATAAAGCGAAATCACTTCATAATACTGCTTCTTCTTTGCAAGTGCACTAAACAAAATAGTGAATGATGAAATTGGAGAGATGGGTTGCGAATTAATCATGTAATGAAAAAAGTACAATGCTTCATTCAGAGTAAAGTTACCTGATCGACAATTTTCTTTGAGGAATTTAGCAAGTGAGGATCGTTTAAGGGGTTTTCCGAAACAATACAAAACTTCATTTTTGGAGCTTGAAGTTGTGAGGTTGTGTGAGTGAGCTAACAAAGATGAAATATTACCTTTCAGAGATGGGTTTTGAGAGATTGAAGACGACCGAAATGGGGATCTCAAAGCCATGTATGAAGAGTGTTTTTGTGGGTGGTTTACTTTTTCCGAAGTAAGGTCATCGCAAATGCATTAAAAGAGAAATGTTATGACAAATTCCAGAGACAACAAGGTTTTCAAAATTGCAAGCTTATGTCAAGTATCGATCTTTCCATCACAAACCACCTTCATGATTTCGAAAATTGTTCACTTAGCGCCCTGAAGGTTAAAAATGTAGATCAGGCTCAGGTGTCGATGGTTGGTTTTCGGTTTGAAAAATAACAACAAACAAAAATAGTTGTAATGCGCTAGATTATCAAATCTATCATGGTGGATTATTCTTTAATTAAACTATCAAATCATGTTGTTAAATGTTAGACGTATTAGGGGTGAGCGGTTCCGGGTACCCTGCACTTTTCCAGAGAACCGGAACCGGAACCGTACAGTACAGGTTCCCAAAAAAAGGAACCGGAATCGGAACCGCACAGTACAGGTTCTTCAATTCAAGGAACCGGAACCTAAAATGTAGGTTCCGGTTCCTTTCCAGGGTACCCAGTAAAAAATCAATTACCCCCCTATTAGTTTAAAAAATAACAAAAACACCTTATAAGTTTACAAATACACCCCTAACAAATTTTCGTTATTCATTCATTTGTGTCCAATGTAACTCATAACCTGTAATCTCTAAGCAACACTTGAATTCAATCAATTCATCACAATTCACATAATATTCGTCAATCAAAACCAAAACACAAACAATTATTCATCACAATTCACATAATAACTTCACCAAAATCATTTAAATAAACAACAATTCTTAATACATTACTAACATGCCATTTGCCAGGGGTCTATTTGATAAGTTATAAATTATTAATTTTATAAATTTATTAATTTAATGTTATAAGGGTTAATTGGTATTTATAATATGCCAATAAATTTAGTAAATTTATATTAGAAACAAGTAATGTTTAATTAAATAAGTGATCATACTACAATGTAAATTGTAATGTTATAATATTAAGTGATCATACTACAAGTAAATTGTAAGTTATAATTAATAAGTAATATATTATTTAATTATAATGTAATATATAATTATTAATTGTTAATCATTTAATTAGTATTATAATATTGTTTATAATAGAATGTTATAATTAATTAATAATCATACCATAATTTATAATATAAGTTATAATTAAAATTTAATAATTCGATTAAATATTGTGCAAATTAGTAAATTATTAATGTTTATATATAATGTCATATATCAATTAAGTAATCATTTAATTATGTATGTTATATTAATTAATGATCATACTATAATAGTATAGTAATGTTATAATGAATTAAGTAATCATACTACAAATCTATAATTTAATATTATAATTAATTAAATTTCAAATCATTTAATTAATATACTAATGTTTATAATGGAATGTTATAATTGATTAGTAATCATATTACAAATATATAAAGTAATGTTATAATTAAAAATTTTTAATCGTTTAATTAAGTATGTATAGTATAGTAGATTACTAATGTTTAATGTAATGTTATAAATTCATAACTAATTAAGTAATTATGTAATCATTTAACTAATAATTTTATAATTAAGTAAGTGATCATAATATATGTAATTTAATATATAATTTTTGAGTAATTATTTAACTATAATATGCTTAATTAATGTTTATAAGGTATGTTTAATTAATTAAATTTCTTATCATTTATTAAGTATTGTGCTATGTTTATGTAGTAAATTAGTAATTACTATGTTAAAATATAATATCATCACTCATAATCATTAAGTAATTATTTAATTATGTAATGTTATATTATTTATGATCATACTATAAATAGTATAATGTATGTTTATAATGAATAAGTATCATACTACAAATCTATAATTTAATATTATAATTAATTAAATTTCAAATCATTTAATTAATATACTAAGGTTTATTGGAATGTTAAATTGATTAAGTAATCATATTACAAATATATAAATAAGTTATACTTATAAATTTTAATCGTTTAATTAGTAATGCAATAGTATAGTAAATTACTAATGTTTATAATGTAATGTATAAATTCATAACTAATTAAGTAATTATGTAATCATTTAACTATATATGCTATAATAAGTAAGTAATCATATAATGTAATATTATAATATTAAATTTAATTGAGTAATTATTTAACTATAATGTATGCTTAATTAATGTTTATAATGAAATGTTTATGAGATATGTTATAATTATTAATTTCTTATCATTCAATTAAGTATTGTGCTAAGTTTTATATGTAATTATATTACTTGTTTAAAATATAATATCATAACTCATATCAATTAAGTAATTATTTAATTATGTAATGTTATATTACTTATAGATCATATATAATAGTATAATGTAATGTTATAATGAATTAAATATTTCTATAAATCTATATTTAATATTATAATTAATTAAATTTCAAATCATTTGATTAATATACTAATGTTTATAATAGAATGTTATAATGATTAAGTAATTATATATAAAATATAAGGTATGTTATAATTAATTAAATTTTAATCGTTTAATTAAGTAATGTAATAATATAGTAAATTAGTAAATTACTAATGTTTATAATGTAATGTTATAAATTCATAACTATTATGTAATTATGTAATCATTTAACTATGTAATGCTATAAAGTAAGTATGATCATAATATATAATGTAATATAATAATATTATATTTAATTGAGTAATTATTAACATAATGTAATGTTTAATTAGTGTATAATGAAATATTTATAAGGTAATGTTATAATTATTAAATTTCTTATCATTCAATTAATATATGTGCTAATATTTATGTAGCAAATTAGTAATTACTAATGTTTAAAACATAATATCATAACTCTAATCAATTAAGTAATTATTTAATTATGTAATGTTATAATTAATTATATAATCATACTATAATGTAATGTTATAGTGAATTAACTATTAATAATCATACTATAAATTTTAATGTAATTTATAATTATTAAATGATTTTTAATCATTTAATAAGTTTGTACTAATGTTTATAATAAAGTCAATTAATTAAGTATAATCAATTATGTAATGCTATATTAATTATACTATAAATCAATTAAGTAATGTTATAAAATTATAATTAATTAAGTAATCATTTAACTATAATGTAATGTTATAATTGATTAAGTATGATATTTAACTAGTAATTAAATTTATTAATGTTTATCAATTTATCATTATATATTTAATTACTAATTTATTATAGATATACTTGAGACTTGATAATTGAAGTAAATAACTAATATATATTACTCAATCAAATATACTATTTTATTCAAAAATAATTCTTTTAATAACATTAAAAATGTAAAACACTCTTAATTGGATCATATCCAATTATTCACTTAATTGATCAAAACTTTAATATTAATATATTATAATATATTAAAGCTTTTAATATGGTGTATTTATATGTAATAAGTATAATTTATTCGTATATTTATTTAATTAGGTTATTCTAAAAATTTAACTTTTTCTATTTTAATTTTTTTTATATGTAAAAAATAAGAAACTCCCCCATTATTTATATTTCACAAATATTTCATTATAGTCTAGGTTCCAAAATAGTTCTAAACAGGTTCCAAAACAGTTCCTAATTAGGTTCCAAACGGTTCCAAACGGTTCCAAAGATTCCAACAGGTTCAAAACATTCCAAAACAGTTCCAACAGGTTCCAAAACAGGTTCCAACCAGGTTCCAAACAGGTTCCAAAACAGTTCCACCAAACAGGATACCCCCTACAGTTCCAAACAGGGTACCCTTTTTACAGGTTCCGGTTCCGGTTCCGGTTCCTCCAAGGGGTAAGAACCGGAACCGGAACCGCACAGTAGCGGTTCCAAAAAATTGGAACCGGAACCTACCCGCACAGTGCAGGTTCTGGATAGGTTCCGGTTCCGGTTCCGGTTCTTACCCCCGGTTCCGGTTCTACCCGCTACCCGTGCTCACCCCTAAGACGTATGGTATATTCTTGTGCTATATATTAGAAATATTGGATTTATTATTTTATTAACGGTATAATTGGTAAATTATTGAATTTTATGATTGGCTTTATACTTTAAATAAAACCTGGACATATCGGGAAATTGTGATTATTGAGTTGGATATATACGTCCGCACCTCATAATAATACGTATTTAAAATTTTTTGAAAACACTATTTCGCCCTCGCTTTTGTTGAAGAAAAGAAATTTTTTTTTTTTTTTTTGAACTAGTGAATTTTATTTTAATTAAAAGATTATTTAGTTTAGTTAACAACAATAGGGTTAAGACTTAAAAGTAACTAGTGTTTGGTTAATTTTAATTATGGGTGGATTAAATTCACCCCTGTTTGGTTAATTTTGAAATGATCATAATGCTCTGAAACTGTGAAAATAATTTAATATTATTAGTGATGAGGGCTATTTTGTAATGATTTTAAGCGTAACAAAA